CCCCGCGCCTGCCCCTGAGCCGTGGATCCCGCCGAGGCCCCCGCCGAAGGCGCCAGTGTCGCCCGCGGTAAGCGCGGCCTTCCCGTGGCCGCGGGCAGTGGAGACCTCGCCGGGCGGGGATCGGACCAGCGGGGAGGTGGGCGCTGACCTCAGCACCCCGTTATCTGCGTCCACAGCCAAAGCCCGTGGCCAGGGCGCCCCCTTCACAGCCGCCTGTGCCCAAGGCTGAGGCAGGGGACAGGCCCGAGGGTCCCGGGGACCAGGAGGCTGCAGAGAAGGTTGAGGAGCCCGAGCCCGAGGAGGACACTGGCGAGAAGGCAGAGGAGGGCCCCGCCCCGCTCGCCCACGGAGGACCCCAGGAGAAGGCGCGGAAGGAGAGGCCGGGGAGGGAGGAGAGGCCGCGGAAGGAGAGGCCTCGGAAGGAGGAGAAGCGGCGAAAGGAGGAAAGGCCACGGAAGGAGAGGCCACGGGCCGCCAGGGAGCCCGGAGAAACCGCACCCTGGCGCTGGGAGGCGCGCGAAGGGGGCCATCGGCCGTGGGCACGGGACTCCAGGGACCGGGAGCACAGGAAGAAGCAGGCCTGGGCCTCCCCGCGGCCCCAGGCCGAGGAGGACCGGTCCCCAGGCCGCCAGAAGCACCGTCAGGGCAAGGGCCGGGACTGAGGGGCCTGGGCCCTGCGCGCCGACCGCGGGAGTCCCCGCTCCAGTCCTCGGAGTACTCCGCAGCCCCACCAAAATAAAGCGAGTGTTGCCACCTCCGGCCCCTGCTTCTTTGCTCCTGGAGCTGGGACTCGAACCGGGTCCTCATGACGATGGGGCGCTTCAGACGAAGGCAATGAGCGTGGACAGGGAGTGGCAGGAGACTCCCACGGGCTCCCAAACACGCCTGGACACTCCAGCCGCGTGCTTGCTGGTCTTTATTGGGGCGACGCCTGGGGTACAAATAGTTGGGGGGCCTCGTGGGGTCACCGGCAGCCACACTCGGTGGCCACCATGTTGGGCACGTGGCGCGCGCTGATGCGCCCCTCGGACAGGCTGATGAGGAGCTTGGCGGCGTAGGCCGTGGGCACGCAGCAGGGCGCACGCGCCAGGACGGCCCCGCGGGCCTGCGCCTTGAGCAGCAGCACCACGTGGTTGCCGTAGCGCGGGCTGCGGTCCGACTGTGGCCAGCCGCACGCGCCCTGGCAGTTGGTGGCCTGGGTCGCGCCTGGGGT